ACAGGTGACATTTCTATTTTATCTCGCTTGTTTTGACCATATACTATTTTGGCATATCTTTCTTTGGTATAGGAATATTTCAATAATAGTGAATGATACAAATGTTTACATAGTGGAAGAACCCATCTTAATATTGTTGCAGAACCTCCGAAAAGATTACAATATCTATGTACAGTAATTTAAGAGGGAAATAAAATTATAATTAAGTGGGATAGAAATACAATAATATATTAACAGTTTCAAAAACTCCTTTCCATCTTGCCTCTTTACAACGATTCCTTATTCAGAAGGGAAGTGGTAAGATATATTTGACGCTACTTGGCGAAGAAGTTGAGGGTGAATGGATGCAAGTCCTATTGTTCTTATTAAACTTTGCTGAGAAAGGTGTTTCGGCCTTGGAACAAACTGTAAACTTTTCCCATTTCTCAAGCAATTTCTAAAACAAACACATTCTCTTATGAATATTTACAGTATACCTGTTCAGGAAGGTGGGTTTCTGCTGACGTATTGCTGACACAGGGAACTTGTGTTGTACCTCTGAGTATCAGCATACCTTTTGTATAAAACCACTCATGAGGGATCCAGTTTACTTAAATGATGTATAACTTAAATATAACTTTTATTATTATCATTGATGACAATATAGGGACAGATATATATGAATTTACACATTCTTTTGAGCTTTGAACACCCGTCTTTATCAGTTTATTTTATGTTTCATAAAATTTCAAAGTGAAAAAAGCCTTTTGATAATACATGTCTCTACCGATTTGTTGAATATTAAGTACTTAGAGGAGATATTACACAATTTTATCCATTTTTAGTCAAAAGAGACTATTTATATTGACAATATCAAAGATGAGATAACGATTTTTTTCTTTTTATTTTGGAATATGAGGGAAAAAATATAAACAATTTTTGTTTAGGATTACATAAAAATATTATTTATTTTTTTTAATTTTTTACAACACTTGTCAGCAGTATTGACAATTAGCGAGTCTGCTGCCTGTTGTGTTGCCTGAATACTAGACCAAGCTAGTCTTGGTTTTGCGCATGAGTCTCACAACGGTCTTGCAGTTACCTATTAGCTTAGTGCTATAGAGATGTTACTGTATTTTTTTAGATAGGGGAAACCTATGTAAGAACACATGAAAAATTAGAAGAGTTAAATGCAAGAGTATATTGGTTATAATAATTCTTGACGTATAATATCTTACTATTTCGCCTTAAATTTTATTGAAAAATATATAATTTTTTTACCAGTCTTGGTCTTGGTCTTAAGTGTAAGACCAAGATCGATTTTGGGCAACACTAGCTGGCTGGAATTATACTGATAGTGGCTTGATCAGCGTGAGGGAAACGAGTATCAAGCAAAATCCCTTCTCGACTTGATTGTAATATATCTTTAAGTGAGGACATCCCTCATCTAGCTTCTTTTATGCGCCTCCGAAGCGAATTTTCGGGCATTTTAATCGTTTTACATGTCTTGTATCAGTGTGTTAGTATTCCCATGAAAGTTATGGTGAACTTTTTTGTAGTGTGTCCGTATATAGTCGTTAAATGTTGCCATATTTATATATTTGTCTAAAGTAATGTTTGTGACGTACCACGGAGTTTCAGTTATGGGCCTACAAGATTTTGACTGAAAGGTAGCTCCATATTAGGTTTCAGTGCATAATTTCAAGTGTTCAGTTTCTGTTTTAATTTCTTAATTCTGAGCATCTCGAAAAAGGTGAGTATACTTGTCACAGTCTGAGGTTTAACGTTGTTTTTTTTTCTGTTGATATGTAGGCCCCATGTCTTTCTTCTTTCGAATTTCAGTGTAGTAAAAACAGAACAACTCGTTTCGGAATGGTGCACTTTACGATGATTTGCAAGCTTTTTTGTATGCCTCCATAAGCTTCTGTCGTCAGTTGAAAGATTTCTGAGGTAACTTTTGTTAACTGTTGTCGTAAATTTTAATATTAAATATTTGAATTATGTTAAATTTAAGTTTTAATTAACTAATAGCGATTGTTAAAAAATTATTTTCATTGTGAATATGCTGATAATTTTTTATATATGTTAATAATATTATATAGATAGGATTCTAGAAATAGAAAACGAGCCCGAAACATTGTCCGGTGTAAAAAGGAGATAAAATTGTAATCCAATTTTGTAAAGTAAAATTTTTTTTTGAAGTGTTCCTCGAAATAATATTTTTTTATTAAAAGGAAGCTTTCAAACAAATTAAAGGATCAGAGGAAAACGGTTAAAATTCATTGTTGTCGATTTTGAAGCCGCCTTTTAATCCAGATATAGCAGAATCGAATGGTCTGAACATTTCTGAAAAAAAAGTCCAACCACCTATTTTTTTTTATTTTTTTATAAAAAAGAATATGCGATCAGAGGAAAAACAATTTAAGTTCAGAAAGTGTGGGGAGGAGACTATTTAACTCTTAACGAACTCGGTCAATTTAATTTATATACAGTTCATTTAGTAGATTTTGTTATTTAACATATCAAGGAAAAATATCGAATTAAAGTGGTGGTAAAGGATTAAAAAAAAACAGTATAAAATATAACAAATGAATCTTAGCAAACTAATTAATTTCCTCAGCTTCAACATCCACATTACATTCATGCCAAAAGTATGAGATAACGATATTTTCTCTATGTCACATCATTGCGTTCACAAACTTGTATCGGAAAATGTGTTTAATGGAGTCGTACTTTGTGACTCCTGCTCGGCCAAAATAAAACATGAGCGGTCCTTCTTCAAGACTGTATATTCGGCGAGGATCATATTTTTTCTCAAGGAGCGTGAATGTATATATATTTTCATTCCAATATAGAAATATGCTGTCAAATCATACGTTGAAATACGGTTGATTGCAAAAATGTTTCGCATCTGAGAAAAAAGAAATCCAGTTAACGTGAATGTTAAGGAGTGAACCAGTTAATGGTTACAATGAACCGAATCTACTTTTCTAATTCGACCAATCTTTCTAATAGAGATAGCCAAAACTCACCCAACAATGATTTAATAAAAAATGATATTTTCTTGGCGGTTTATGGATTATTAAAGTCATCTGATTAACAAAAAATAAATAAAAGAAATCGTGTTGCAACACTTTGTCTGTTGTAAACATAACTTTAAAGCCGTCTACAACCTAGTATCAACTATCACAAACATTCATATCTTTAAAAAATATTTTTTTCATATTCGTATTGATTCATCAAAAATAAATACCTTCTAACATATTATTACAAATATATTTAAAGTATTTTTTCACGTTCATACATTTCAGTCGCTTTAATTGCTAAATACAGAATTTAAAATTTTATGTATATGCATATTTTGTATTTAAACGAATATATTTTATTATTTACCTTTTCAGCTTTCAGAATTTTTATTCTTACATAGGAGATAAGTTTGCCACACAAAAAATAATTAGCAAAAAAAAATTAAATTTATGTTTTTTTATTAATTAAATTTTAATGGTAGAAGGAAAATTTGATGTAATTCGTAAATAATAGTTTAACAATAGAATATTTTTCGATGAATACAGTTCAAACCGTAGGTTGATAAATCACAAGTTAAACGATATAACCATTTTTAAATAACACAAACATTACCTGTATGATGGAAATAATATCTTCAAGACAGGAATATAATTTATAAGTCAATGTCTCTTTTTGGATAAGCAACGAAAGGATTGAACCATTTATATATATAGGGAGCGGGGTAGCTCAATGGATTTCCAGAACTCAAGGTCCCATGTTAGAAGGTTAAAATCTTGCTGATGGCAAGTAATTTTTCATCAGGCGTGGATCGACCTTGGGCCAGGAGACCCCCTGCGGATCATCCAGCCTCTACAAAATAGGTGGTCTTTAACCTAATCACCTCCCTGAACAATGTAATAGTACAATAAAATATTTTATTGATTTTATACTTTTTGAATTTTAATTATCGGGACTAAAAAGGCCTTTTTCTATTAATATATATTAAAATAAAATTTTTTTTTTCATTAGTAAATTTTCTCTTTCGCTGTTTTTTAAGTACGCATAGAGTTCTTGAATTTGAACACATGAATTCTAAATATATTAAAAGATCATGAACTTCACTTTTTGTCTCTAATTTTAAGTATGAGGGGGTGAGGGGTTGGTGAAATTATGCTTCAAACAAATTTGAATTAATACAATTATCTCTTCTCAGAATCTCGGTTTCTGGAAGGAATTCTCGAACATTGTACCTCATTAACTTCTTTAAAGGAGCAGTTTTTAAAGGATATATTTATTTTCTAATGATATATGTCATCACAGATTAACTTGAGCCGATTGATTACAAATATCATTTTTGTCGGAGCCGACAATCATCCGATTGTGGCAAAGGCCTGACTATGGATCTGCTGAGCGATGACTTCTGTTAGCTTTCAGAATATTTTATGAATGCGATGTAGAAAGATATAAAACTCAGGAAATGGGAAAGAACCGCGAGCTCATTAAAAATAAAAACGTAGGAGAGGGAATCCCAAGAAGTTGGGAGTATTTTGTTTAATCTTCATCATTTTTTCCTCATTCTGTTATCGATATCCGAAGGCACGTGTTCTCGGGAAATTTCAATAATACAAGAGATCTTTTATTTTTATTTTTCAACTCATTTTACTTTTAAAAGTATAAGGAACGCTTCTATTGTTAAATATGTTTAATAATTCTACCTTAAACGATGATGAAATTAATTTTGAATAACCGTAACAGGCTGGTTTATATCAACTCATGCGTACATTTTAACAAATACATAACGTAATATATTACACAGTAGCAAAGACACAGCACTAATAATTTCTGTTGTGTGCTTGTTCCTCCTGTTATAACTTCTACTTTACACATAAAGTGATTGCCATTACGAAAAACAATTATATATCTATCGCCACTTATGTTTGCCCAAGTTTCAATCTGCAGGTATTTTTATTCGAATTACCTTTTATTTTGTGTTCCATATTCATTCTTCTTTGCATCTATCCGGCCCATACGGCTGACGTAAAATAATACTCTTTGAAAAGGTTGTACAAATTATCTTTTTCTCTTATTATACAATATTTATAGACGAAATCCACAAAATATATGAGTGAAGGATGAAAAGAATTGTAGTTGTGTAACATTATACCAATATCGGTACAAGCGTTCTTACTTGTAAGCGATTTCAGATGATACAGGAAAATTGCAGTGGACAGTATTCGAACAGCAATGGGATGAAGAGCTTCTAAGAAAAGCAATTATGATTAACTCGATGAAAAGTAAATTCATGCTGATTTCTAGGAAAGAGGAAGACTTGAATTTCCTTTATTAGCGAGGAGCTAGAGGTTGTGGACGAATTCTCTTATTCGGGTACATTTATTAGCAGTACTAACATTATAAACAATATAGAGTCAAGTAGAAACGCAAAAGCAAATAAAATCTATTACGAATTATACAACACCAAAGCCTAGAGAGAGCTTGCCATTCAAGCCATGCTCCACATCTTAAAAGATCTCGACTGCTACATAGCTCTGAGAGCAGAGTAACGTTAGACAGACATATGAGCCGGTTAATCGAAATCAATATGAGATATCACCGCCAAGAAAATACATTTAGTAATCATGGTGATGTTTTCTAGTATAACTACGCAATCGACCTAATACTTTGAATTTATATAAGAAAAGAACAAAATTTTATTAATGAATGACATACCTGTAAGTGTGGATTGTCGCTCGATGCCAGTGTCTATGACGACTCCATCCACCGACGGGCCAAAGGTCGTGGCGAACTGCGGAGGATCGACCGGGACAGACATTAGAACGGAGAGGGGCCGCTCCCTGAGGCACTTGAGCAGGTGAGCGTGGCTTTGCTCCCAGGAACAGTTGGCGTGGCGTGCCAATTGGCGCGCGTACCTCCATGGCTGGCGGGCCAACGACCAGGGAGCGTTCGCTGCGCCGCTCATCATGATTGCCCGATGAAACAGGACTCCTGGGTGACAAAAAAAATTATCGCATTAGAATAAATTTTTTTTATTATTATTTTAATGGAATTTACAACTGTATTACATAGAAAATACAATAAGTAAATGTGAAATTGTTAACATGACATGTACAACATGAAGAGAAATTATTCATTGGTAGAACTAAAATAGAAAAATTTAAATAAAAACATGCTGAAAAAAAAGTTATTTTATTAGCCATATCAATCCACCTTTGATTGAATGGTCTAGGGAGTCTTATTCCTATATCTTCTTAAGAGCTTAAATAGAGCTAAAATCAACATCTAACTCTCCTACATCCACACAGTATAGTAGGTTCATTAATAATCGGTTGTAAAATTTTTTGATCAGTGTTTGATTAGCGAAATATTTTGAGCCTGGTGTAAAAAAAAATGGAGATGAATAGTATATAGGACATGAGACATGTACACGGTTCTCAGGATGTTTGGCTCCTGGCGTAGTGGCTCCATGCGTTTAAGCTACTCCACAGAAAATCAATAAACATAAGGATAGTTTGTGATAAATAGGAAAAGAAAACAATTATGTTAGTTGTTAATGGGCTGAGAGGTTTATTTCTGTATCTGTGCAATTATTCCTACATTGTTGTGTTATGTATGAAAATTCATGAGTTGTGTGATGAGGGTTGTTTGGGGACTCTTGATTTTGCCCGGATTCATCCCAATTGGTACAAATCGAATCAAATAGATTATGCCATCAGTGGTGGGGAGTAAATCTGAATTATGCATGAAACGGCATTCGGAGAAGAGAATGGTAATATTAACTAATTTTAGAGTCATTTTAACAACAATTGTCAGGTAGCTTGATACTATAAACGATAATTGAAAAGTATAATTAACTTAATTTTTTAAAATATCCCTCAGTTCTTTTATGATAGGACCAATCAGCCATATCTTAGAGCAATATATATGATATTCGGTCATCATATGCCGTCATACCACATATTCTTAAATAAATTGAAAAAAAAAGAAGAAACATTAGGTTAATAAAGCAAACTAGAACATAAGAATATAAATATAACATTAACAAATAAATAAATAAAACCATCGATAGTCCTCTCTTTTAGTCATTCCCAAAAGAAGGATAAAAGAAACTTGAGGAGATTTCTATGCGTCTCCCTTTCAGCATAAAAACACCAATGCAAGCACTTATACTGCAAGTAATTATTCTACACTTTAGTGGATAAGCTGATTATTGCCAAGCCTCTAATGGTCCAAGAGTACGAATTATAGCGCTGTATTGTGTAGTTTTAAGGAATGCTTTCGGGATGTGTGGAGCTGAATAGAGATTTTATCAGAGATTTTTTAATTTAATATTTAAAACTGTCCTGGTAAAAGGGATTTGAGCATTTTAGATTATTTAAATGGTACATTACTCCTCATCATATCATTCATGTTTTATACTCGGATCATATTACAGGACATCAAGTTTCGGAACTATCATTCGAATTATTCGCTGCAACCTGTATCGTACAGTATTGTAGTGAATATTACTTTCCGTATTCTATTTTTCAAAATCCTTATTCGGAAATATAGGTATCCTGTAGTATTTGCCTGCATTATTAAAAAGGAATGCTTTTATTTTTAACTTGTTCAGCTCCACGTTCAACATTTTTAATGTTGTGCCCTTCTGAGAATAAGTAATGTACCGTTATATTGTATTATATAGGTTTTATTAACGAAACTAACAAGAGCATCACTTTTCAGTTTCTGTTTAATAGTCCACTGTACATTTCGATTCTAGTTGCTTAGTGTAGTCATTGATCTACAAACTTCTTTGTCGTGTATGATACAACCGTTCATTGTTTTCAAAGTTAAGTACCATTTTATATCTTAATTAATATAGGCTAAATTAGACAACATATAATGCCATATAACCGTATGATCCTTATTATGGGCTGCTACTCTAAGGAGCAATGGATTTTGATGAATCAGTTATCGAATACTAATTTCATGAAGAATTTAACTTTAACAGAAGTCGTTGGCATATACAAATTTGGCATATGAAACTGTCATATATGAGATTAGTCAATATGAGTTGTTATTTTGGACTCCCTGTCCGTGGCTCGGCAGACTGATACGGTAGAGAAGACGCCCTTGCTCAGACCGATCAAATTAGGCGAGCTAACGGAGTTATTGGCCTGAAAGCTCTTCACGCCATTAGTGACCCAGGGTGAGGTGGCCAAGGCCTTCCTAAATTTCCCCGCCGATTTCCCAACAGTTTTGTGCTTTTGTTCTGAAAAATACGTTTTCTTGCAAAAGAGACAAAAGAAACATGTCTCAAATTAGGGTCATTCAAACTTCATAAAATTGAAATTTACGTCATTTTTTTTTTTTTTTTTATTTCTAACCCCTAAAAAAATAGAAGCAATCGATTCAACGTCACTGTTACATCTTATTTATGAGTGCAAAAGCATGGGAAAGTATGGACTTTTTAAGAATTATTTTCATACTTTTTTTTTTGTTCTCTTCTACATCGGCTTTTAGGCTATACGGGGATTTAACCGGGCCAGGGGGTGCGAACGGGGTAATGCCAGAGTTAAAAGGTGAGTGAGGTAGACCGCTGTTGAGCACTGACTTTCAGAACTCAAGACCCCAGGTTCGAATCTGGCTGATGACTTGTAATTTTTATCAACCGTGAGTCGACCCTTGGGCCAGGAGAACCTATTGAGGCAAACTCGTCCTCTATAAAGTGGTTACTCTTAATTAAATAATTAATTAAGGGGAAAATCTGGCGTTGAGGGTGATATTGGCCCGTCACCTCCATGTACAACCGCTGGCCTTGTAATAGTACTTCCTCACATTGTACTGAACTCAAGACCCTTCGTGGGTTGTTAGTGGCACAGGTTGCAGTAAAAGAGCCCAGAGGCATTGAGAAGGAAACTCGTAATTTTTATTGTCTCCAACTTCGGTTATCAGATTGCCGGGCAGCGCGCGGTGCTATGCACAAACATTAGCCTGCCCGGCCACCCCGCTCTTATATTATTATTCTCATATTATATTATTCATATTATTATTATAATATACATATTATATTCATATTATATTATATTATATTCATATTATATTATATTATCTCATATTATATTCTTATATTATTCTTACACTGAATTTATACGTTCCACCGTCAGGTGTTCCCCCTTCATTAATTATTTAATTAAGATTACCCACTTTATTGAGGCGGGGTGTTCCACTAGAGGACCGTTTATCCGAAGCCGATAAAAAATTACTTGACATCAGCCGAATCCTTGAGCTTTGCAGCCTAGTGCCTAACTGACTGAGTTTTTCTGCTCTGCTGATATATGAATTGATAATTTATTTTATTTTTACAAGTCAACAGACGATTCTTTACAGAACATAATGGATTTAATTTTGGCATAATTTAATTGTAAACTTCGGCTTCAGTTGTATTTGGCGTTACCTGCACTATCTTAACGTTGTGTCTTGGATATTGAAATCCTAGAAATAAATGATCATTTCTCTATTTGGTTTAATAACAACTCTAAAAGACATCGTAAACATTTTTAGACCAAATCACCATATCACTGATGCAATAGAATACGTTGATGAGATTGGAAAGATGAACGAGATGTTCATGATACCCACTTACATAAACATATAAATAAACTAAATCAAAGGATGGCACAAGGTATAGCATCTCTTTACGCCGTCACCTTATTCAATAGATTTAAACCTATCAACTGGTTATTATACATAAGCTTGACAGAAGTATTAAATATATGGATATCAATTAACATATCATCATGTAATATGTAGAATGAAGCTTAGTACTTTATCTTTTAATATTTCATAGTACATAGTGGTAATTTCATCATACCATAAAGATTAGATATTTAAAATGAAGTTTTGTGTTAGAGCTCGGAACTTCTGCGGTCCACTAAATTATCATCTCAGCTGTGGGTTATTTCCATTCGGATGGTTTATTCAACCGCGAGCGCTTTTACAAAGTAATTAACTATCCATTAACACCAGGCATTATTAACAAAAGATAATTATCAAAGTCTCTACTTAAATTAAATAAAAATTAAAAAATATGTAAATTAATTAACGAATTTAATAATGGATATTTCATATCAACAATTCTATTCAAAAATAGCAAAAAAAGCTATTAAATGAGTAATAGAGGCTTTGTGAAACTAAAACGGTAAATGAATGGTTATTAGAAAATTCTATTAAAAACATTACAATCATATATTAACATTTGAAATGGAATCGTATAATGAAAAAAAAAAACATTATATCTAGACATATTGCATATTGTTAGTAATATAAAAAATGAAATAAAATCAGAGATTTGTTAACTATGTACATTTATAAACAAAGAACTATATTATAGTTGAGAATCAAACTTATAATTCTTTATATAATAAAATTTAGTATATATTATATTGTAATATTATATATATGTAATTATATATTTGCTGTGCCGAATGGTAAGCGTCCGAGGGGAAGACCGAAGCGAAGGTGGGAAGATTGCATTAAAGCCGATCTGAAGGGACTGGGTTTGGACGGCGAACGGTGGAGGGAGGTGTGTAACAAGCGATTGGTGGTGTCGGCATCGAACCTTCGGGTTCGCTAAGCCTTATTATTATTATTATTATATTGTTATTATTTACACTAAATATCATTATTAACCAGCTATAACATTATAATACTCACAGAAAATGTTATAATTTACATCACATTGAGTCATGCACCTACCTCTCAATGCTTCGTCAATATTTCTATATAAGTTAGATTCAAATAATCATTTTTTTCGCTAAACATTTATTATATATTTTTTAAAATTTATTTGACATTATATTTGTAACTTATTATATTATAATTATTATTATTATTTCTTAATAGAAGAAGATATTATTTATATATAAATTATTTATTACATTTAAATTTTATTTTATTATTCAAATAGTCATTTTGTTTTCATAG